ATATATATATATAAAATTATCCAGGTCTATGTATAACCGGTTAATATGGACCAGCTGTCATCGAAGCTGCTGGATAGCAATTCAGCCATAAATCGATTGGTGCCAATTTCTTGGACTTAATTCGTTCCTTTCAGCTGCTATGTTTCTGTATAATAATTGTAACACTTTTTACTGTCTTCTTTCGGGAAACAGCCTTATTAGTAGTTTCATTCCGTTTATACACGTCTAATTAGAGATGCATTTAGTATAAGAATAATAGATCAATTTTTAATTAAAAAAAGATCTAGTATGCTTAGACTTTAAAAAGTTTTACACTTTTCAAGCCGTTTATCTATTTATGTTAGTAACCGCAAGTTAACTTAAAGTAGAATGTTTTTTTTCAATAATAAAAAAAAAAAAAAAAAGAGAAAAAATATAAATGGATTGAGTAACCCAAAATCAATAAGTTTTTGAGACTTTCCCTTGAACCACTTGTCAAGCAAGCTTTTTCGGTTGAATATGATTCGTATGATCTTTACCTCGTGCATCGTCGCTGTGCTCGTCATTTTCGTCGCCTCGATTTTCATTTATTCCGCCATATCATCATCATCATCACCATTTTGTGTTTATCCACTTCGTTACTTCTTCTCTCATTATTGTTATAATTATTACTGTTATTTTTGTCACCGTAATGGCACAAAACATTAGAAAAATAACGCTTGCCATCCCATTGTAATCATCGTCTCCATTGTTACAATTATCTGTTCTTCGATCATCACCGGTCATCAACTCAACTTCACCACCATCATCTTGTTCTCTGAACACTTCTTTAAAATTTTTAGCCCACGGCCTTCTTGATACATGTGTATCATGTGGTACATGTGTGTGATATAACGCGGGACTACCGTACGTGCCCTTCCCCCGCGTCACCGGGGGAAACTCAAGCGCCTCTTCATACTACTCTCGTTTATAATCGTACTGTCGTCATGGGCCAGTCTTAACTCAATTTCGTTGATTTTACTTTCCCCGCAATTCTCACAATGTTTTATTCATTTAGCTTTTATTTACGTCGTCTGTCGATAGCGATTCGAATAAGCTTAAATCAACCCCGCATCTTCAGATTGCTGATATCTTTTCATCATCGTTTGTGTTATATATGGATGTATATATAATACAGTAATAATAATAATAATAGTAAATATAATATTATTATTACTAATAATTATTTCTGCAATTGTCATGAATTCCCTTGTTGATAATGTCGGTATCAGTTCTTCACACCTGACCAAGCCTTATTATTACAAGCAGGCTTCAATCATCAATACTTAATTATTCATCCCATTTTATTGTTTCTCTATTACATACATATATATTTATTATTACAATTAGTATTCTTGTCATCATTTTATAATCTTCAGCGTAATCCTTAGACGATCAGATCAAAAGACAACAAATGTGCCATCGACTTATAGAAGTGCTGTTCCTTATCGTGTCTAGGGTTATAATCGGATCATAATTAATTATTACCTATATATATATATATATATTTAAGTGTCATGTCGTCGACAGTACAGAGTACATTATCAATATGGGCCGATTTTGCTTTGATTTTTCAGAACTTTTAGCAGATGACCAATATAATTCGGACGATAAAACTGCGTCTTCTGCAGTGCATTGACTTCTCCTTATGGTCTTATTTTGTTAATCTGGATAACGTGTGCCAGAGCGCCCTTATGTCCAGGTATTATACACTCATGTTCAAGTGTGCTCTAGGTAATATATGTACTTATATATAGTTAGACTCATCATCAGTTATTGTTTCGTTCATCTTATGTACCTGTATTTCGAGATCGTAATAATAATGATAGTTATAATGTTTGTCTTTATATATATATATATATATATATATATATATACACACATATAGGTAGCACTTTACTGCGACAACGAAACACTATAACAATTATATGTTAAGTTATTACAGTTACCTAAACGTACAGTTATTGGGGGCCCCCTAAACAACGGTTCTATTTCGCAGTGCTATGGTAAGCCGCTTATGCGTGTCTTCAATATAAACACTTTTATCTCGTTCGCTGTGACGATTCCCGGTCAAATAAAAATCATTAGTTCGCTTAGAGATCGGGCTTCGATTACAAAGTGACATCAATATTTGTCAAATCCTCTAGAGTTTTAAGGCTCGTGTGTGTTTGTTTTAATTATATGGGTATATGCAGACCGTATCACGGCGGAAATTCGAATGCCAGCGGTGAGTCTTCTGTTGCCACGATTATAAACACTAGGAAAGAGATATTTCATTATTGAGTAGCGGTGCCCGTAGCGGTGTTACTAGTGCAGTGTTTCGGTCTATGCACCTATGGTATATATATGTATATATCTATATATCTATGTATATATATATATATAGTTAATTATTATGTTCCAGGTTGCTATTTGTCATAGTTGTGTGTGTCTTATTGAAGCTGACTTTTCCTCTCGTACCTTTTGTGTACTAACTTCCAAGCGATGCTTTTGCTCCCTGTATTTGCCATTTGATAAGTTTTTTAGTTAAAGTATTATTGTCCAATCATCACACGAACATATCCTGTTCTAATATATTGACGGCGTCGTCAGCATTATTCAGTCAATAGTATTAGCAGTATTATGATTTGTTTATATATACAGAGCGTTTACACGACAAATCGAAACACCTGAAGCGGTTTCATGACCTGCCTGGGAATAAAATTTGGACAGATCAAACGACAACGACCTAGATTAGCGTAGCATACGTGTTTATATGTGCCTGTGTGTGTGTGTGTGCGTGCGTGTTTATGTGTGTGTGCGTGTTTAAAATTTATCTTATGACCGAACGGCAGTGGTATTTCTAGCGTGCATCGCTCAGTATGATGGCGTCTACGTTAAACATACTTTGTAAGTATATTTATTTTATTCTGCATTTGCAGAATAGGTCTGCACATTTTCCATGTTCTAGTTCACATTTATAAGCTGACGGCTCTAGGCATAAATCGTTACGAACAATTATAATCTGATATGCTCTTAGTACGGCAGAAATCCAACATGTAACAGGTTGGCCGTAACGACCGAACGCTGAGCATTTCCGAAGTGTGACAACAACGTTAAAAAAAAATAATGTATTCCTTCTACCGGTGTTATCGCAGTTGTATGATTACGTTTGTTTATTACTACTAGCAAAAGTTACTAACACAGAAACCTAGCTTGAACTAGTTGTCAAATGTTTGACGTCATCATGTAATAATACTATCACCAACAAAAAGATGGGTCTAATTCCGGTCCTGTTCCGCCTATTCGGATTATCGAGAGCGTCGATTGATCTTATTCGAATACCGCCGTTCTGGCGGTTTATGTCTTCACAGTTGTGAGGCTCAGTTCGTTCGAAAACTTCTTATCGGTCGATTGATATTATCGTGTGTAGGTAGATATTCATCATCATTATCGATATCTGTTGCAAATTTGGGCGGTAGAACGAAGTTACGGTTGGAAAATACACCACCATTTTTTCATTACCGAGCGCTTCTCAAGCTCGTCTCCTGATGCTATTTAAGGATTTTGAGATAGGGCGCCCGTGAAACGTCGATAAATAAATAGTGGAGCTTACGACACGAAAATATGCACTCCCGCCGATTCAGGCTTCAGGTCATTCAGTTTTCGACAGCTTATGACGTCCAAACAACTAAGGCCAATTCGAGTCGAGTATTATTAATGTTAAAGTATTTTCTCACACCGCATGTTTTTCCGTATGTGTTAATGTTGAAGTTCTCTGGTTTTAATATATATATATATATTCTCCTTATATTAGAGGAGCCTTTTCCACTACACTGGCTTTGATTGTGTCTCGTGGTTCTTCTGTTACTGAGCTACTTGTAGCCCAGTTTCCTTTCGCTCTTATTTTATGCCCATCCGTTTAGTAACTGAAACTATCAAGCATCGTGATCGTCTGGATTTCCTGTGTCAAATACATTACTTCGTCGTCTGTATCAGTCCTGTCCTTCGCTCGCATGGCCTACTCTTCAACTTTTCATTTCATTTTATATGTTCATGTATACATATTTCTATTCATTTACTTGTGTCTTATACTAATAATATATATATATACGTTATTATTCCCCTTCATACATAGTGTCATCATACATATATATATGGGGTTTCAGTTGTTTCGTCACTTTTGATATGCTACACGTGGTTGTATCCGTTCCTTTAAAAATGATGGATTTACCACATTTTTCATGTTCATCATCAGCATTACTGTTGTTGTTATCATCATTATTCAGACTGCATTTGCCACCAATTTTGCCACCCAGTTGCTTTTTTCCCTTCAGTGTATCTCTACTATTCTGCTATATATATATATATATAATGTGTCGGTCACGCATACGGTCAACGAGGAAAAACTCCTCATTCCAGTAAAATATTATCAATTTATCGTTCTTATTGTGCTGGCTGTCTTACGGTTTCGTCTCTAGATTAGATCGGATAAGATTATCGACACTCATCACTAATCAGGAGTGGAATCCTTTGTTTGCAATCCTTTCTGTTCGAGAGAAGATAGTGAACACAATATCAGTCAACGCCAACCGACAACCTGGATTACTAAACGCCTTGGAAATCTTTCATCTCAATCATAGTTATCGTATATACCACTCCATTATAATTTGTATTAAAAGTTACGGTTCGGCGCACCATCAGCATTACATATTCCACTTCCTTTCATTTACAACCGAATATTGTCATTCCATACCCTGGTCACGCTCTACCGAGGTTCTCGTCCTCCGCTAATTTGCTCCTATACCGGCACCCCTAACAGGACATATTTGTCAGTTTGACGCTCGTACAAGAAATCCGGAAACAGGCATAGGCGCCTATTTAAGTATCTCCCATTGCTCGCGTTATTAATACACCTAAGTGTACAGAGATATCCGTGCGGTACTGTTGGGCTAGGGCTAGTCAGGGTAAAGGAAACGGCTGGAAGAGGCAAGGAAACTGGTGCACTAGTAATTTGACAATGTTATAGAAACGAGTATTAAGAACTGTAACTTGTTTTGAAATTTCATTTATGTATCATTATGGACTGGTGATGATACGACGCTTACCGTTATCTGTGATGCCTACCTGTACGCCCATCCCTGATTGATCTTCTCACAAACTATACATGTGACGTTGGCAAGACTAACTTATCTCTCACGCTAATCATTGCACGCTCGCCAGTCTTGTTCTTGCTTACCATAACTTCTTCTCTGCGACTGCGGACTTTCGACTCGCTTTTAAGGGGTTCCGTCTTCTTCGTTCTTCGTTTCGAACAATAATTATCGCCGTCTCAGGGATAGAGGCTGCGCCTGACTTGGCTAGTGGATTTGGGCGGGTTGTTTAGAAGAGAAGCTCATATGCTAGGAAATATCACTTCCGAAAGTAGGTTTTAATTAGAGGAGCGGTTCTTTTTTTGATCACCAACATTGCTATATAGGTGGGACGCGATAATAGATCATTGATGCTTAAAATTATTGTTTTTTTTTTTTTCTAAATTGTTATAATAAAATGTCTGCAGCTTTTATGATATGCATTGATTTCAATTCCAACCAGCGCCTGTCATGCGCCGATTATCTCGGATAGTGGCTACGTGAATGTTAAATACTTTATATGTGATACGACACTGCAGTAACAAGAACGAATCAAAGGAAAAAGAATCGAAGTGAACCAACAGCCGTAACGGTAGAGGGGCCAACTCGAATTTAATCAATGAGGGAGCTCATGTTAAAATTAGTGACTTAACTTTTATTTCCCGGCCTCTCAATCAACCTGCATGTCTACCAAATAACCCGTAAATTGCCACCATACGACTCCAATAAGTTACCATGTAAGGGCTCGGCTCCGGTTACGTACAACTTAAAATCGTTTACAGAGTCGATATTGTAGAGTTGCTTATGGTAAGCGACTTATCATCGCACTCACTTCGTAACTGGCCAGAATGGATAATTCCGACTATCTGCAAGAGTAGAATTCAAGCGTAATCACTGAGTAGCGTCTGCCCTATTTTGCTATAATTTTCATATAATTATATTACATTTTTTTTTCTATATTTTTGCTTAGCACGAGCATGCGTTTATACTTTGCTATGCATCTGTCTGTTAATAGCTGGGTTCTATGTCGCAGCCAACAGTGACAGCAACAAATCGGGGTCATCTAGACATTTGCTCGTGAGGCCCCGAATTTCTATCTCATTAAGAGCTTTTTTCATATTTCTTCTTTTTGGTTTCACTTCGACGGTACATAATTTTTCATCTTCTTTGTCTTTGTGCTAGCTTTTTTTGATGCGTTTATGAAGCCATATCAAATCGAAGCTTGTGGTAGATATCCTGGAAGTTGCATGATGGTACCATGATGGTTTATTGTTCTTCACGGAGATCTTTTGTCTTCATGCTGCGGCAGAAATAAACTTCGACCGGAATCGAAAGATTTGAGTTTTACAAGAGGTATGACAATGTCAGGTCTAGATCTTTTATGGCATAACGGCAGCTCCCAGTGGGTCAAAGAAGTCCTCTCATATTTACAGGTTCCGCGTGTTTTTTTCCTTTTTGTTCCTGTCTACTTTTGTCGTTCTATGTTCAGTTCGATGACAGTGAAATTATCAACTCATTTTTGGGCCGCAGGCCTGTTCGCGCAGTGACCGGATTACGCCTATGGTTTCTCTATCAGTGAGCTTTATATATTTTATGAATGCCCTTTGGGGTTACCTCAAGGTCACACCTGATTGTGCCATATGTTGTAACTGCTATAAAACGAAGAAGTGGACTACCCGGCAAGCAGTGGATAGGTGATTCATGGTCGTACACGCGAGTGCTGTGATTCGGCATATCCATGTGTATATATATATATATGTGTACATAGGCATTGGAGACGGCAGGTGATGATGTACATGTTGATACGCGGGTGCACGAATGTTTTGCGGTTGCGCTTGAAATTCTCTTTTTTTTTTCTCTATTTGGGGAAGAAATGCTGAAGGCTGCTATTGGCGCTCAACCACAGCTCAATCAGGCGTAGAACTCCTTATTGGCTGAGGGCCTCATGTAGTTCCTCCGATGAGTGCTGAAGTGATCATCATGGTTGCCTATAATGTGCATGAGAATGATTGAAAAAAACGATGAAAATAGATGTTAAAACAGAAAGGTAATGCTGATGACCCTATTCCGGCTCACTAGGAAACAGGTATCTTGGATAATTCTTGAATACTAATCAAATTTTACCAGTCTTTTATATATCGATTGTTGGGGTTACTGCAGTTAGTATGTAATTCAGTAACAATAAAAAATTTAACAGGCTTTGAAACGCTATTTTAATCTTTCCCGACTTCCGTTCCGTCTCAGTATAATTAATACAAGTTTGTTCCACATTTAGTATCGATAAGCTATACACGTACACCTCTCTTTACCAGCCTATTGCCAACCTAATAAGAGGATAGTCTGATGATGATAATAATACTAGAAAGATAAAGAATACTAACGCTTTCCGAGTGGATATGATCCTTCATCCTTCTTGCGCATTCGGTACACAACGAACATCACACACAGGATCGCGAGCAGGAGGCCGACTACGGCGCCCCCCATAACGGCCACCAGTATACCGGGTTGGCCTAGCAGGGTGGACGGCCGTTGTGTCGCCTTATGCCGCAAAAGCACTTCACCGCTAGAAATTTTATTATCATCATCACTGTCATGTGTGATATCGTTCTCCTGGCTGTTTTCCCGGCTTTCATCGCCTTTTGCATCCCATTTTTGTCCTCCGCCACCTCGCGATGGCCCGCTGCTGCCGCTTTTTCCGTCATCTGTTTCCTTTCTTCGGGCAGTATCATAGCCATGACTATTGTCACTGCTCGCGACGCCGTTACCGTCGGGCAAATGACCGGATGGCCCAGGTTTATTGCCCCTCTGGTACTTATCCTCGTCGAGGGCGGTCGACTCGCCACCTTCAGCGGCTGCGCCCGTTCTTCCGTGAAGGACGCCACCAGCGCCCTCGGTGTCGGATCCGTCATCATCCCCGTCGTCTTCGTCATCGTCTTCGCCGTCATCTTCGTCGTCGGTGTCATTTTCCAGATCAGCATTGCCCGCGCTCCCGAACACTGATCCAGAGCTTGCGGTAGTCGAGGACGGGATGGTTGTAGATGGAATCGCAAATGACGTTGTTGAAGGAGCTGCTGTCGTGGTTGTTGTTGTTGTGGCTGGAGCGATAGTTGATAAAATGGTACTCGATGAAGTGCTTGATGGGCCAGAAGTCGGTGATGAACTGCCCTTTGGAAGGCTCAGGATTTCTTCCGGAAAAAAGTTACAAATGACAACAACAACAATCGGACAGTATACAGTTATTCTAGATGTAAAGTAGACCGCATAACCATAGTGAACGAAAGTATGGGGGCAAGTGACCACTATGTACAAATTCCATGCGTATGTATTGAAGAGTTTGCATAACTTATAAATATAATTGAGTTTGTATAATCTGTGCAATATTTGTTTAACGTTATGCACTGCTTGAGATACTCGATAAGGAGCTCGTTCTACAGTGTTAGATATCTGTTAAGAGATATCCGCGCGGTGATATGATTAAATTATTGGCATATACATAAGCGTTTGTTAATGTTTCCTAACGTAACGGTAAGCTTTAACTTTATCTAGTCCTTTTATGTTTTCATTATCTTCCTAAAGTACCGTAGTTTCATAGATCAGTAGCACAATGAACTATTTAACTGCCGCAAGCAGAATGAACAGGGTGGCCCTTGTTACAAAAATGCCTTTAGTTATTCGCAGTAGCCTTAGCGTGTCATTTTAGCAAAAGCCAAATGTCATTTCGGTTACGAACCCATTTCCTCTAAATACTATTGGCAACGGCTCGCACGAATTAATAGTACCTTATAGCTGGACACGGTGGACCTATTGAGATCCAATCAGACTTTCCCAATAAGAGGCAAACCTACCAACATAAAGAGTTTCCTTCGTAGAAACGAACATAATGCGCGGCCTCTATCTCAGCATGTCGACGAAACGAAGAAGCGGGCTGTGGCGGTTTAAAGCCACAGAAAAGTGGGAGAGTTATCGAATTATGAGGCTACCAATGGACGAGGTATTAGGGGCAGCATCGTAGTCTTCAGTTAGTTAGGCAAGAACGTCGGGATGGTTGAGGACCCCTCTTAATTAGTTTGTTTGGATGGACAGCTGTCAACATAAGGCTCTTCGCACTTAGGCTACACGAAGCTGAAGTGTTTGCGTTGACAAACCTAAGATCCCTAGGGTGACGGTACACCCAAGGAGTTGCCCTTAGGAGTAAAGCGCTACGTATACGCGGTATGTCGTAAGGTCTTGCAAAATAATGGAGCAAAACCAAATGCTTGGTACATTAGTGGATTTCAACTTTGAGGGACATGACTTATGACGACAGGAAGACAAACTCGACGGGAAAACAGTGACGTATATTGGAAAGCAGAAGAAGAAGATTTACCACCGTCGCCGCTTTATCGAAAGAATTGTTAGGATAAATAACCGTATTTGTTTTAACTTATTTTAATTCAACTTACCTTGGGCCAGGAAGCAGGTAAGTGAAATTATTTTCGAAGGAAATATGTTTACAGTACACAGCGCAAGCCGTAGTTAAGAAGCCTTTAAGACATAGCGGTTGAATTTCCTATATTGTTTTTGCATACGCCAAGTAAACAGATTCTTTATTCAGTCAACTCGATTCATCATCAAAATAAGTTAAACTACTGCACGACGATTTCTACGATGACTAAGATGGGTCCATTAAGAAACATGTCATTATACTATACGAAATATCCAATATTGCGAAATCGACTCGATTGAATAGTCATAGCTCTATACAATAGTCCTGAATTATTTACGCTGAAATTCCTCTGTAATTACCGACAGAGCTCATTTGCCTACAAATGCACGAAATGTTCCGCCACGAAGCCATGGCCCTGCTCGCATCCGCTGCAGGGGAACTGAGGAAGTCTGATAATTCTCATTCACCTAATACTCCCAGACCTGCCTGCATGCATAGTATTCGAATATGCTAGTGCTCAAATGGTCCAGTTCATTATTTCTAAGTAACTGTGTCTGAGTGTTTCCCTATTAGTGTTTCCTTTCGCCTTCCTTTCAAGCATGCCTCTTTTCCTATATACACAGACACAAAATTGCTATTCGGTCCCTTTTCACCCGTTTCTTTGGCGAGCAACAACACCTCCTTATTTAATCTCGTTTGGCGGAAGGAACGAGTAACGCTTCTACTACCATTGTCCTCACTTTTAGTTCAAATGAATGCTATGCGAATAGCATACGGTCCTTCCGTAGGGGTCTATAAAAGCCAGGGACAGCGATGGAGCAGAGCTATTACTTCGGACAACTCATTAGATCCCTTAGACATTATCAAAAAAATCAGGGGCGAGGAGAAGGCTAGCTATCAGCGGAGGAAGAAGACGAAAACGACGGCGAGCACAAATAGAACATCAGCTATGACTCCCGAGCCAGTTTTTCTGCGTTCACGGAGGGCAACGACTACCCTCACGGTTCTACGGTCCTAAGAGAGATCCTCAGGAGAAGACATTATCACTGTGGGACTTGGCAGGCCGCTTTAGGGTGATTTACAAGAATGAGGAAAAAAGCTAACAAAAAAAAATTTGGAATAGCGATGTTTATCGCACCAAGCAACGCTCGATAGGTGGTGCATTACTCGTAAAGATTCGGTCCATCTTCCATTCTTCGTGGATTGAGCTTTAAAAATGTTGGTCTCGGCTGGTTTTTTCGGACTCCATTTCCTCTACCTTTAGTGACCAGCAATTTTTGTCTTGTCAGAAGCTCGCATCGGTGTATGTTACTGTACAATCCTAGAGTAGCCGGCTGCATTCGCTCATGCATTGTAGCTGTGGGCCTCGGCCCGACTTGTAGCAATACCGATTCTGGACCTGATGCCGAAGGATCTTGGTAACGCAAATCTACAGCTCAAGCTGCATCCGCTGACAAAACCATGTTCAATGGCATTAACGCTCAGAAAGCAATGGCCCCTTCGGGGCTACTAAATTTATATCAAGCACTCCATAGGGGAAAAGTTGAACCACTAGTAAGGTGCAGCACCATTGAACAAATTGGTAGGCATCCTATTCCTCTCCCCTTTCCCTTTATCAGAACCGTTGCTGGCTGCCCTATCGCGTATTCCTCGAATAACTTTTTCCCTAGCCAGGAGTCCCTACCCCAGGCGTCCCAAATCATCGAAGGAATTGGACTCGAAGGGAGCGTGGATACATACAGCATTCCACCCAAACGAAGAAAGCCAATGTACTCCAACGTAGAGACTTTGCTCGTTTTACGCTTCATGGTGGAGGGGGGGGGGGGTCGACGTCAAATGTCGTTAGATTCAGCAAGGCTATTATTACGCGCAAGGCCGTATAGGCATCGTGGCAGTGAATAAGAAGCGCTTTGTCGGTTCAATCTATACAGAAGAAAGATTGTGGTTTGTTGAACGGTTACACAGCTGGAGGTTGCACTTCACCATATCCTTTGACAAACATTTGTTGTGACCGAAGCTTCGTTGAAGCAGACAATTGAAGCACTGGTAGCTACAAGCCATAGCACTGCACAGGTTAAGCTTTTGCTCACTTGGAGGATGTGGCTAGGTTTGAAAGCATAATTTAAACTAACGAGTTCGGATTACCGTGTAGGTAGGCTAGTACAGACAAGAAAAGAATCGAATAAGCATGTTAGTGAGATCGCCACTGTATTCATTGAGATAATTCAGCTGAGTGAGGCTTGAAAGGGGACGCTGGTATGACGTGACATGAAGAGAAAGGTACATAACATGTTGAACAGTGCTAGTTGATTATAGTGCAGTAAGAATAATTGATAGTAGCTATTTAGCGAAGTGACAGCAATAAAGGATAATTATTTTTATTTGTATTAAAAAAATATTGGAAAAGGGACAAGTTTTCATGTATACGTGTATATTTCATATTCATTAGTAACATGAAACCGCATCGTCAAATAGCATATCCACCGCTCTATTTTTCTGTTATCACTTCATCATGTTATCACCCACCTGTTTCATCGAGGTCGCTGTCTTCATTTTCATCTTCGTCGTAGTATTCCTCAGGGTCTTCAGCAATGGACTTCGAGGAGCTGTCATCCGTTGACTCCTCCTGTTTCTTGCGGTTTCTATCTTTGCTAGAGAACACGCCACCTCCAGCGGAAATATGTCCCGTGGCCTTTCCAGCAGACAGTTCGCTCGTGCCAGATCCCTCATAGTCACCTTCGTCCTCAGAATCCTCGTCGTCTTCCGGCATCGACGTAGTGCTCGCCGGAGCAATCAGAGGCCGCCGCGTCGATGATATTGGAACGCTTGACGAGGTGCTTGACCATGTCGTCGTTGACGACAAAGTAGAGGTGCTGGTTGGGATTTCCGTTGATGTGCTGTGACCACCGCCGCCAAGCTGTCCCGTATGACTTGAGTCCGTGTCTTCGCGCAGAGGCGGGGGCCCGTTGACGTGGCCTGGTCGTTTTGTTGTGCCTGTGGCCTTGGGTTTGCTGTGCGGCTTGAACATGTCCCCCGAACCTTCGATGTCCTCGTCATTTTCATCGTCGCTCGAGTGAGGTTGCGACGGTACTGAGATCTTCGAATGGCGACCGTGCTCAGTACTCTCCTGTTCTTCACTATCCTCCGAATCGCCAGAGCCCATTAGCGACTCAGCAATTGTTAGCTCCTTCCGTTTACTGCTGTTACCGGCACCAGCGCCGCTTCTGGATGAGGACTTTCGAACTCCGAAGCCAGTACCCGCCGTTGCATCGCGTTTACTGACATGGTGACTGCCACCCTGCAAAAAGAACAGAGACATGGTTTCTCAAACCGGTGATACATATTTATATAAATAAATATATATGGCGGGGCAAAAATAATTTAAAAATTTGGAAAAGTATCGTTACAGTTTGAAAGCCTTGACCGAACTTGTTTATCCTTACTTCTTATTTTACAGTCTCCTGTTATGCTTACAGATGTAAAATGAAGACTCTCAAATTGGCAAGTGGTTTCTGTTCTACTTATATATATATATATAGTCAGTGGGTGGTATATTAAATGAACTAAGGTACATCGTCTACAGCTTTTCACTGCCTCAGCTATGAGTGGATTCCATTACCATACGTTGATATTTTTTCACGAATATAGGAACATATACTATATCCTGTTTCCAAACACGTGATTTTGTGATATTTTAGACATCCTTCGTGAGACTGAAGTTTGCTGAATTACCAGGCCACGGCAACGCTTGGTCGTCATTGGTAGCGAATAGCGCAGAGGTGCGCTAAGCTTTGTGACAAGGCATTATACCATATATGAGGACGTAGTCATTCCCAATGAACCGGCGTAACCTCTCGGTAACTTCAACATGTTTCTGCTGTTTTACTACTACTACTGCTGTGAAACGTATCATTCGAGTGCCTTTGCCATTTCAGTATAACTTTTCCCAGTTAGAATATGGGTTTCGGTTATGGGCCAGTTTTCGAAAATCGTTCGTCAACTCGTTTAGAGGCATAACGCTCGATTTTTCAGAAAATTCCCTAATGAGATTTTTCTGGGAAACAGACTGTTTTCAATGATTTAATTTTTGATATTGCCTAACAAAGATGGGCTCGTTTCATTCGAGGTTTTTGGCAGGTCTACTGCCCATGAATCCAACTTGTTTGAATCAGTTGTAAAGAGTAACTTCGGATACAGTGGATGGTCTTTCAATCTGCTTAGGAAGACACTATACGAGATAAGCTTATCTTCGAAGAGTCCTCATAGAGAGACTCATGCAGCTCCCCATTTAGCAATACAGTTTTTTTTTATATCTGTTACCGATTTTACACGATGGCAGCGCGAGGTTTTGGCTAAACTTTCTAGCAACATTAGCGACTGCATGCTGCGAAATATGAATCCTTTGTCCTGTGCATTTAGTTTGATAAGGCAATTTGCTAATTTCTGCTCCTTAATGAAATCTGTTCCTATTCCACTTTATGTACGAAAAAAGTCAAGTTCACGTAAAGTTGAATAATGCCTCTATCATAAGTTGAGAACCATTCAGAGAATTGTTTTAGTTATCCTTTAAATTTCCTTTGAGACTATTTGAGTCTACTTAATTAAACACCGATACTTGATCATGGATTGGGAATCGATCGAGTTAACGTTAAGTGTAGGCCTTAAGTGGGTATTTATTGGGGTTTGAATAAATACGTATTAAGGCATTTAGTGCAGATGATTTGTATTCGGAAAGCACACGGTGACTGACACGTACGTACCGCTGTGTTAACATTGTCAATACTGACCGCGCTTTGGCTCACGTTAAATGTCACTTAAGTTATTACAGGGCCAGTGTGTAGCAGACTATACATTCTGTTGATATACTGTTTGTTTCTTTGGTTGAATTACATGTTCGTGTAACATATGTCGTTGGTTTCTAATTATCATATTGTAACGATAGTTATGGGACGCCTTGAAACAAATCATCCAATAAGACAACGCTTACATAATAAAAATGAGATGTGAAGTAAAAGGGCACATGAGAGATCTCCTAAGCTTTGTGTTATTCTATTTCTAGTCACTATAATCCAAGTCCATCAAAGTCTCTATTAACGAGCTGATTAGATGAGAGACATTTCAGGAAGCTCTTCAGTAAAATTATCGTTTTCGCTGCCTGCCGACGAAAATATTAGTATGTAGGTTTCAGGTAGGAGCTCTTTCATATCAATGGCCTCTCTTATGTACAACTGTCTAACTGAACCATCGTTATAACTGCCCTATAAAATTAAAAGTTAAACGATATTACAATTGACCTGATGATCTAATCCTACTATGTAAGGTTTTGGTACTTAGCGCGCATACAACACGCGCGTATAAGTACGCGCCAAAGTTATTGTACATACTATCGAATATTATACATCCACAAAATTTCCATGTTACTATATGGGAAGGGTTTAACGCTACCAATAAGCCTTTTTGGCGAATATCGCTATTTCCCCGAGCTGGCTATCTTAGTGGATTCGCCCGTCCGTCGCGCATCTGAATTCAATTGGTTTGCTAATTAGATCTGGATCACTGCGCCTACTTTCCAGCGATACAGGACCGCATTGCCGAACGGCTAAAGAACGGATGAGCAAACAGTGACTCGTTTCTTTTCTATAGATGTGTATATCTACGTCAAGCATTAGCAACGCGTCTTTGCAAAGTGATCGAGCCTTCAATGGAAGAAAAGAGGTATCATGGCGAGAACTGTATACTGTACGCCGTTCGTACACAGGCGAAAGTCAAAATTGGGCTAACAGTTGCCGATCAAGAACGAGCGACCTGAACTTTTCTCCGGTGGGCCTACAAAACCTATTGAGGTCTGGGTTTTACTCTGCCGCGTGCGCGTTCGGTAGCTGGCCACGCAAGCGAGAATAAACGAGAATAATCAGTGATTATCTTCCACAGCTAAACTGCAATGATGCAGAAGACCAGTCTGCCGAAAAGCCTAGGCCAAACAGGCCTTGTATCGTTCGGCGTTCCGCTGTCTACCTGGCAAAGGCTTTTTTTTTCTCTGTTTTTTCCTGACTTAGTAAACTCAGTGGACTTAGCAAGCTGTAAACGTTAGCAGTTAGTAGCCAGATCGAGGTAGTGCATTGGTCCTAGAACTCCAATACTGCCTTCCTTGTTCCACTGGTTTTATCTTCTCCTTGTGCAATCCTTCAGTCCTGGTGGTTACTTGGTCAGTTCCCGAGTCCTACCTTGCCCTGCCTCGCTCGCTACTGCAGCGCTGTGCTATATAAAGCACGCCCTGGAGAGTTTAGGCACTGCTGCCAGGCCAGTTTCTATCTTTCTTCTCACAAGAGAAGATCTAAAGGTCAGAGTTACTTATCCAGCTAAAAGCAGCATTGCTAGCAATAGACAGGAACGCCTCTGTCTGGAGCCCCGCTTCACAGCTATGGTTAACGAGTAATTCTGCTAGTATGTATAATCTTAGTGTGCTAGAAATCCTACAAGGGATACGGAGTAGGAAAAGAGCTACCACTAGTGGAAAGCCTTGATACCCATGCTTGACTCAGGCAGTTTTCTTCGGCACTGGCTTTCTTTCTGTACAAGCTCTGGATATCGATGAACACTCAACCCCCTTTGCGAGTCAGTTTGACTGAGCAGGCAGGAAACTAGCACCCACCATTTCTGCCTTGGTTGCTGCTGAGCAACGAAGGCCAACTAAGAGCCACGCCATTTAAACTGATATGACCTGGTTAAGACACGAGCAAAGGAACGGCACGGCCAAGGACTTCGGTCAGAGATCTAATCAGCTCGTAATAATCTCGTCTAGGACCACTAGATGACGACCCTGCCCAGAGCTAAGTTATTTACTCGTATCTATACAAATCTCTATTATACGCGCATATGGCAAAGATCGTCGACCTTCTTTTCCCCCAAAAGATTTTCCAAGCGACTTTTGTGGGACTTCGAAATAGAAGCGACGTCGATAAATAGCCTGAGGTTGACTCTATTTATCTCTATAAACGTAGAGATTTGTTCTTCTTGGATTGTACATTGTTAAATAGATGTTGCAATTTTAACGTTTTTGTTTAATCTCTTTTGTTAGTGTTGTTTCGGATACAGACTCCATCTCACTGAAGGTTCCTTTGTTTAATAAGCGAATACACCAGCTTACCTATCACGACGGAAACGTAAATTCGAAATATTTATGTCTTATACAGATAGACTGGTCTAGATGATTTAACTTCCGATCTTGTACGTTGTTGCCATTGGATAAAGTCGTAACAGTTATAGCTCACACATAGTGAAAATATTAAATTAATAATATATTTTTAAAAAATTATGTGTTAAAAATGAGAAAAATATTAAAGAGAAAATATCAATAATTTCCCAATGTTAAATGAGCGTGTGTGTATGTTAGAGAATAATTTGTAAACATTACGCGATCATATGTACGTATATAGCTTTTTGTGATATTTTTTTTGCTCGTTGCAACTATTAATTGTAAGTTTTAATCTATACGCCTGCATTTAATGATTATTGATGTGTCGCCTGAAAATTCGTGTTATAAACGCAATTTTTTCGAAATTATTCTATCAGTTTCACCAAGAAAATATTAGCTCTCCCTAGCAAACGAAACTTTTGACTGTTTGAAAATGTATTGCATTATCCTAAGGGTTATTTTCTAACGTCGCAACTATGGGCATCACCACTACTAGTGATTCAATCGAGCATGATGCTTTTCCAGTTGAAAACGTACGATAACCTGTTGTGACTGGCGGGAATCCATGGAGTCCTCATCGTCGAGAAAATAGAGATCAAGATCGCGGCCTACATTTGCTGCGTCGTCCGATCCAACGATTTGCTGAAATTATACCAAAAACAACAAAAAAAAAACAGAGGCGTGAGTGTGGGGCTCATGTGATCTTCTAATGAAGAAGTGTTTACACACAGTCAAATCGCATACAGGAACCACTGGTAATCATCGCAGCGATTCAATAAATTCACGTCAAATTGATAATAGAAAAGCGATGATAATAACAGTAAAGACGACTTGTTTGGCCGTAGAGCCTGAACGCCCACAGCGACGGCAGCGAGATATAGAGAGGCACAGCAAGAACGTAACGCCGCCGAGTGCTAAAAAGGAAGTGAGCTAGTTAAGTGAACGAAAAAGCTCCACATACCCCATTTAGCGAAAATAGAAGCCCTCACAAACTGACCATTCGAGACGTTGGTTCCTTCTACTATTGACAGTGGCTGAATAGTGCAGAGTTGATGCGAGTCACAGTATCAGTCGTCAATCAGATGTAGAAAGGAGCAGACAATCGATCTCAGCAAATGAATCAAGCAATATTTTTGCTCTGAGATTTGTACCATAAAGACAATATAATAAAAAAAAAAAACCGTGAACTGAATCTAAATTTGAATTAGCAGACTACATAAATACATAGGGCGATAAATGTGGCCCGAAATTTTCCTGTGACCTGCCAAAAGAAATCTTCAGCGGTCTCCAATCATCCCATCGCGTCTGACCTCTATGCTAATAATAATACTAATAATAAGAGTAAAAAGTATAAGAAAATATTATAGCGAGTATACTTGATTGATTTCAATAATCAGCATCACGTAAATTGGGAAAGATTAACTTTCGCATGTGATATTTGCACGGCTAGCTATTTAGCACGTTGGTTTTATTAAATATGTCGCCAGGAAAACTTCCTACTAAAGGTGAAGACCCAATTCTATAACTGAGCTTCAATAATAAATAATAATTAACTATTTCTTTCTACTGGTTTAGAAACAGATATTTCGACTTTAATCTGTACAATGCCCCAGATGTTTTTATACAGACCTGTACAGCCAGCCTTCTTCCAACGACGCAAGCGATGTATGGTGGAATCAAATCTCTCAATTACTCTCAATCTGACAGCATAACTACACGATCAGTCTTCAACATGTCTGAATTTTTCTGCTATTTATTTTTGATCGCCAGTTGTAAATATCAATTTGTTTCACCGATAGTGCTTAATTAATGATGGTTAATTAATTAAATGGTTCAGTTATTCCGTATCAGATAGAATTGTATGTACACAGTTATCTATGAGAACCCGTCGGTGTGTTGCAAACGCATTGAGTCTTACCAGCAATGGTCTTAACAACAATCTGCTAAAATCGTCAACATGATTTTAAATCGGTAAAACTTAAAGCAAGCAACTCTAACGTCATGATTGGTGGGTTACTTCAAGTACCAATAGGCTTTATTCTCAACGTCGAGAAAAAATTGATAAGCATTACTTAGAGCACCTTGCCATAGATATAGATTATTATTTCACGACAAAAATTGACTTCTTATCGAACAGCCTCCTGAGGTATTAGGGCCCTGGAGTACGTTATTTTTCGGTAAGTTATAGCAAGCATAATATTATATATACTATTTATGCATAATATTATATATAGTATTTATTTTTACTATGCGACCAAAGCACATATTCGACCACAGATTAGAAAAAACTGCCTGTGTCGGGCGCCGCTAGATTTCCGTTCAGGCCAAAATAAAATTTTCACAGCAGCGTCACTTGCTGGTTAGACGTGAAAATGTGTTTTATATATCTATCCTTTATAATAACGTAGACTTACAATTTCTGAAAAGGATTCTAACTCTTCACTGAACGATTTCGCCTAGCCATTGTCAGCCCACAGACTAAACAACTCCATAGTCTTCGACACACCTCATCAAATATTCACCTGTTATTACACTTCGTTTCGTGACTTTGCCACCTCATTTCATTATCTTTATTTAAAAGACCTTATAGAACCATCACAGTATCAACTCCGACTTTAGTCGCGTACAAGATCTGCAGTTTACGGCCGCTGCAACAGATGCATTGGCGATGCGCTAGTATAGAGAAGACGTTACAGCAGGGTCTTCAAAGTGCGCTTCTGTCCCTTTCAAGCCAACTCTGTAGAAGGTTGACACTGTCGATAGTGACGCTGGCACCATCTCCAAGCCCAAACATGATAGAAAGGGGTCATATTTTGGCCTCAGATACGTCGGCTTATCACACCAATAAACAGCATGCGAACGGTCCGAATCTGTAGCTTGTTCGCTGACGGAGAAAAAGAGAAGATGCAAAAGGACCCACAGAGAGAAAACCGGTGCAATGTAGTCAACGCCAAATCCTTTGATAACTACATAAGTCAGAGCTTGGGGAAAGGGGGTAAAGGGGTGAATAATAACGTCATAAGGAAACGTCACCACGTCGTCCCGCGCCAGCGCTATTGGTGTTGTTGTCGCATTCACCGGAGTCATTCCTTCCGAAAACCTGGCCATATAGGAGAGAATAGCATGTCTCCAAGTGAACACGACGAGTACGAAGGAAGACCAAAAGATGAAGGACTCACAACGAACCAGTGGAGTCTATGTCCCACCCCCTGCCTTCTTGCCTTCGGGTCCGCCGCTTTACGGCTGACGACACCTCTGTGCAGAATGTCACCTTCCTTTACTGCTCGTGTATTCTGTTGTATTCGACACACTGTCGTGTAACTATACTACGAGTTCAGGCAGGAGGAGGTGAAACAAGCCGAAGCGGCAGCAGGGAGAATGCGCTTTGGGGCGGGCCTTTTGAGAAAATAGCCGTCAAAGGAAAATACCACCTACGTACCTACGCAACACTGGCATCCGCTGCGAGTCTCTGTACTGCCTTCCTTTCTCTCTCGCATTTTCGCGTTCACACATCGATACACATCTACAACCCACCTGGTGTAGACACCTCACTCCAGCTTAACGCGCACTGACGTCTCATACTCCTGCCTTAAACGGCGCTTGGGAAGGCAGACCTTGTAGATCGCTTTTTTCTCACGAAGCTTTGCCTGCACTCGCGTATCTCCGAACTCTATGTGCGCTTGTCGACGACACCCGTCGTCAGCGACAAGCAGCGTTGGATACAGGCTAAACACACACGCGAACTAGGCAACACGAGCAATAGCAGTAGCTCTATGGAGCGGACCAGGCCTTCAGTGCAGGCTTGCCGCCCTGCTTTACCTGCCTCCGTATCAGTCTCTTTGCCGCCTTCAGCCACTTCCGCTGTTGACTTCCATAAAACACCCGTTGTCGTATGAGGAATGGTCGCTCCGTTTGTTCGTTGGCGATGTCCTGATGCCGATGGCAACTGATTCGTTCACGCACGTAGACAACATGTGTTCATGCCAAGAACCACTATGCGTGTCGCCGCTATAGCGATAGCAGCGGCAGCGATACGGAGCAGTAGGTAACCAGGTGACAGAGTGCAGCGTGGTGCTGCGTCAGGTAGCAGCAGCACTGAAGCACCCCAACGATAAGCGATGATAGTAGTAGTGCCTAGTAGGCTATAGGGTTTTCCGTGTCGAATCCAGGGAGATTTAGACGTCTGAACGAGCCGGTCAACATTTCAGCTTACATGCGAATCCGGTCTAGATCAATGCCGCGGTGTGGTCGTTTGCTCGCGTCGTTATTATTACGTTGGACAATTAAATTGAACAGGAGAATTGTATGGCGTTTCCAGTTTACGTATATATACTACGTGAACGCCATGTCCTGGTCGACTTTAATTCGAACACGTCGAAAGGCACATCTGTACACACAAAATGTCTGCCAATAAAACAGGTTATAAATATTACAGTATCTATATAAGGGTCGTGTGGGAGAAACAGCTTTGGCTTTTGATCTGAAGTGTGAGGTTCACTGAAGAGTTACGATTCAACGGGGGAAACAGGCAGTGCAGGCGGATCAAGTTGCACCTTATTTAAATGTCATCGTTAAGTAAGTCTCATGCTTAGACCCGTCCCATAGGGTACTAGTGAAAGAGCTCCGGGAGTCTTAGCCCGTACGTCCTAAAATGGGCTAAAACTAAAAAAAACACGTCCCAAAATATTCAAATATGAGTATTCGAATATACGTATGGCAATCTTATTTACGGCAACACTTGTAATATATAGATTAGATGCACATCTCGTGCGGGAGTGATTTTAAGGCTTTTTTTAATGCTATACGGATTACATATATTGTACGAGATTTCGTGGCAGAACTATTTGGTGGATTGGTGAACCAAACGGATGGATCCCTATAGCAAACAGTAGTATTCGTGCAACACTTTCCTCGTGAATCATCCAGGATTCGTGCAGAAATTGCACGCCTGTATGAAAATATCAGATCTCCGCGGCCAAGCCGGGAGACGGGGACACTGGGGGAAGTGAGTCCTTGTTAAATAGATCGATCGACCTCCGTCACTGTGCTTGCTTAGATTTGTTTCCATAACAAACGTATAGCGTACCCGATGATTGGCTATTTAAAAGTTATAATATGGAAGCGCAGCAACTGTTGGCGTCTCGAAGATATTCGGTTTGCCAATGTACCCGTCGTAAAATATTGATAAGCCGCCATGTCCAGCATAAAGCCTGCCCAACGGTTCTCTACCCTGCTACGCAGATTCGTTCAAGGTCGCTTGCGGATGAGTGAGTAACACTCGGTACAATTGAGCGAACTAACGCCGTTATTATAGGCAACGCAATTAAAACGTGGTGCACTGTACCCTATTGTCCTGGAAGAAACAATATCATATAGTTACAGTTGGCTCTTGCGAAATACATAATGTCAATTAGCTCAACTTTGCTTCTTTTTGTTTATTACTCTGCGCATCTAATTCTATGGACTCTCAAACCTATTTAGAGACAGAGTAACCATTTTTGCCCGAAATGTAGATTAGAGCTATACCGTACCTTTTGCACGATTACGTTTGGAGGTGTATTGCCGAACAGCTAAAACTGTATTAGCTAAGTAAAGCTGAGAAAAATAGGGTGAAATTAGGCTTATTGAAATACCAAGCATGT